GGGGCCTGCACCAGAGACTGCAGCCTCAGAAAGCAGCCCTACCACGGCCAGCCCACCACCACTAAACCTCAGATCTATGGTTCTTCACACTCTTAACTTCCCAAACACACTCTCTTTTTATTTAAGTCACAGGCCAGAGGGAAGAATCTTTCATCCTTTTCAAGCAACTTCTGAGCCAACCCTCATTCCACCCTAAGGTTTCACCTGAGTTGGGTAGTTGACAAACTGTAGTGCTGAGTTGCTGGAGACCATGGCACCCAGATAGGAGACAGAACAGGCAAAATAGAGCCAGCTCCGAGTACGATCCACCCTGGCAGTGTCAAAAAACTGGATCACTGGGAGAAGACAAAAGAAACATATAAGAGAAAGGTGGTGGGCCTAGGATGGACCACTGAGCAAAAGTCGAAGCCACGTGAAAGGAATTTGCCTGTCAAATAAGATGAGAAGCACAAACTATTTCTGTCCTCTCAGACTGGGAAATCTCTGAAGATTCTCCAACTCTCCAATCCCACCTAACCCTAACACAAGACCTCATGGAGGGCAGGGGTGGGGGTGGGGTGTCCATTCAGTTCAAGGGCCTAGTTAGCCCTGCTGCTAGCCCCCAGGGAACAAAGAGAGAATGCTCAAAACATGCTTGAAGCTGACACATAAAGGAAAATCAAAAGGACAAAGGAAAAAGCTTTAAGTATTCTCATGGGGATCTGGAACACAGAAGACCCATTCCCTGCACATTTCTGACTGACAAGTTGATTTAATCTAAGGAAATGGGGTTTCACCCTTTTCCAAAGCCACTAGTTTTCTCAATCGAACGGAGAGGCTGTTGCAAGCACTAAAGGGGCTGAGGGTGCTGAGAGTTAGACCTAATGCCTAGGATACAAAGGGGAGGGGACACACAACAGATTACTATCTAAGTACTCACAGATCTTGGCAAACACAGCATTGATCACGCATTGGATGAAGACCAAAGTTAAGGCAAACGTGAACGTCTCCTGCTTGGCTCCCTCCCCATACTTTCCTCTTGTTCTAAGAATGAAATGCATGAGAAAGAGGGGAGGAATTAGTATACTTCCCTCAGTGCCAGCTACTAATCCAGAGCCACTGAACCCTTTGAAATTTTCTTGCCTCTCTAGACAAGAGAGTTTGGTAAGGATCACCGGGCTCACTGACATCAGGAGCTGATTTTATGGGATCTAAACACTAGACATTCCAGGCTGCTGATCCCGTAGCCGAAGGAAAAAGAATATCCGTACAGGATGGAGCTAGAGGAAACGTGAAAAATTAGTTGGTGAAACGAGGTATCCCGGGCAGAAGAAGGGATTTGGGCTATAGCAGCAGGGCCGAGGGCAAAGGAATCCGTTACCTGCAAGCATCTGGGAGTTCCCAAAAGGGGCCGGCACAGGTCATGGAAACCTAAGCCTGTAAAACCTAGCTCCTTAGAACCAACAGGAAAAAAGAGCAACCAAGGGAAGAAAAATAACCAGCTCCCGCTAATCCAGAGACCAACTTTCGCGTTTTGGAAACCTAGGGAGGTTTCAGCGGCAAAGGCGGTCAGGATGCCGGGAGGGCGGGGCGGCATGGGGGTGCAAAAGGGAACACTGGGGCCAGGGGCGGGAGGACCGCGAACCTGACCACAGGCTGGGGAGACAAGGCGGACTGGTTAGGGGGGCGGAGGTCTGCGTTCCGACCCGGGGGATCCGCTCACATCTTTTCCTGCAGGATCCCATAGTAGAAATAGCAGACAAAGACGCCGAGGAAGCAGAGCGGCAGGCGCAGCCGGTCGGGCACCAGGGAGTTGCTAGCGGCCATGAGACGCCCGGACGACCCGACCGGAGACCCGCTCACAGCCTGCAGCGGCGGCGGCGACAAGTCCAGCCGGACATCGCCGACCGGCGACAGGGGCCTCATAGGAGCTGCATGTGACCGCCGCTGAGTAGGGCCTCAGCAGTCACCGCCAGAACTGCCAGCTCAGGACCGCCGAGGGGAAACTCTTCAGAACCCTGAACCCGCTTCCAAGGAAAGGACACCCACCCTGGGGCCTTGATCTCGTCCCTAGTGGCCAGGGGAGCCCGCCGTCCCGAGGGTGACGCCTTACCCTCGACACTTTCCGACCAGGCAACTCCGAGGACAACTGAGACCCGGAGCTCGACGGGATGGCCTAGGAGATAGGTGGACGTGGAATGATGACGTATAAAGATGTGGAGGTGACCAATTGGCTGCGCTGTGCAAAGGCAGACAGGTGGGCGGGAAGGAGGAGTGAGCCGGCCCGGCAAATCCGAAAGTCTTTTTCCCGGTCGGCTGTCAGGCTTCTGCTGGGTCCTAACGCCCGGAAATCTCAATGCAGCCTTAGCGCCCCCTAGCGGCTACCCAGCGTCCCTGACTCTAACCCCTCTACAAGAAGAGCGTTGCTCAAGGCCTGGCTTTTGGGGAGCCGTCCTCCTCCTAGGGCACATCACTAGGCTCCCAAGGGCGGCAGAGCTTTTGTTTCAGCTGTCACTTAAAGGCAGGGTAACCTACGCATGTCACCTAAATTCCGAGCTACAGTTTTCCTAGTCTATATTATTACTAATAATAGTCACCTTGTCGCCTCTTGACTATTCTGAGGATCAAATGAGCTGAGGCTGGTGAAACGGTTTTATAAACTGTAAAGTGTGCTGTGCAAGTTTAAGGTATTTATTAGTCATTACTCTTTCTCAACTCTAATCTTATTTCCTCACGTCCTCAAGGTGGAAATGGAAGCTTTGCGAAGTGGATTTTCTTCAGGATCTTACAACTCACCAACAAGGCAGCAAACCCTCCTACATTGATGAGCTCCTTGTTGGAGCCCCTCCCTCATCCCAGTGTTGGACCTCCACCTGCTGACACCAAGAACTAGGGCCGGACTGACCCCAAGGCTTGCCACTACCAGCCTCAAGCCCCACCGTAATCACTGGACTCTGGGTTGCTCTTTGGGTAGAGGCTTCTTCTGCTCCCCTTCTAGCAGCCTGCTCCTTTGGCACAGCCTCACGCAAAGGAAGGAAACTCGGGGCAGCACCACACCCATCCCTCCGGGCCTGACTCACTAAGACTTTGGGGGTAGGCCAAACATCTTTCAGGGGAGGGGTAAGAAGTAGAAGACAGGGTCTGTCTGCAACCCCCTGTGTCCTTTATATAAGTCGGGGAGGGGGACCCCCACACATTTGCTCTCTTGCCCAGTGGTTTACTTTACTGTATTAGCCGACGATTCCAGGGCAGGGAGCTGGGGTTCCAGTCCCAGCTCTGCCTCTTTACCAGCTGGGACTTCAAACAATTCACTTGACCTCTGAGTCAAGTTTCCTCATCAGAAATTAATGGAAATATAATAACAAGCGGTAGAGTACTGTGGTTAGAAGCGCAGGCATTGGATTCAAAAGATCTGGTTCCCAGTCCTAGCTTCCCCGCTTTGTACCTGTGTTTTGGGGGCAAGGTTTATCAATTTTTTTTTGTCCTTCCCTCATTAGTACAGTGGGATTTATCACATCAGATGGTTTGTGATATTTCAATGACATTTTATGTAAAGCATTTTACAGTGTATCTGATGCTTACCTAGCCAATACATGGTAGTTGGGATAGCCTGGCTTAAGAGTTTGTTTTGAGGTTTTATGAGATAGATAGATATAATTGTAGTTATTATGACTGCCCTTGGGGTAGTCAACTTTTAACCCATACAGTGGGGATAATGTGTCTTTTGTGAAAATGCCTTGTAAATTGCAAAGCACTATCAGAATGTTCGGATGGTTATTCTCATTTTCCCCAAAAGCCTAAGAGCTCTTACGGGGGGTGGGGGGCACTATAAGGCTGAGGGACAGTTTCTTCTACCCTCTGTGTTGTGGGTTCTCACTGATGTGAAAAGAATACTCACAAGGAGCTAAAGCTCCCCTAAAACTGTGCCCAGAGATGCAATCTGAATGCCATTCCCTCATCTTGTTTTCCTTGCTGATGCAAGGAGCACCCACAATGTCAAACTGTCTCCCCTTGGTTACCCTTATGTCCCTGCTAAAATCCACTCTCCCTTAGGGTGTTTTTCCAGACAAGAAAGGATGACTTCCCCACTGACTCCTTCACCCCACCTCCACCACACTCTTCATTCTGGACAGACTCTCCCTGGCCCCACCGTTTCTATGTCCAAGTAGAGAATGCAAGCCTGCTGTCCTGAGGACACAGACTCTAGATCCATCCCCCCAACATTATGTGTTAAGTAAAGGCTCCTCTTAAAGACAAGGATGAAGTGATTAATATGATACCCTCAATCTCCATCCCGCTCCCTCCACCAAAAAATATTTAACAGAACCTCAAGCTGCTGGGAATACTTATTTATTTGGTCTATTAACACCAAGATCTGCAACAAACAAACAAAAAAACACAACTTCTAAACACAGGATAATAAAACTTGAACATTAACATTCTTCTTCGATTTTGTGTAAGCTCTGCAGTATGGAAAATATACAAACTTCAAACAGCTGCAAAAATAGTGTCTTTGGGAGAAAATAGAGTTTCTACATCGATACAAGAAAAATAGGCATTTTTCTAATCCAACCCAGTCCTGGGGCAGGTGGAGGGTGGAGAGTCACCACTTGCCACCCGGAGGAATGCCAGCTCTCCCTCTCCCCTACTACCCACCTGGGGCTGGGCAGGCTGGGCTGCTGCTTAAGACAATCTTAGGGTGAAAGCGAGATGAAAATGCCACTTAGGAAAACACTTCGTTCCCCCTCTGCCAGCAGCTGGACTGGTCAAGTGTTATGGCCCTTTCGGGCTGCTTTGGTCAGCTCCTCCAATGAGAGGGAGGTAGGGGGATGGGACTGAGAGAATCGGGTATCTATTTGGGTCTCCTCGTCTGTGTCTGGGGAGGAGAGGTAAGGAAATCTGTGGTGTCCCCTCTCCTCTAATCATGGCCAGCTTGCTCCATGATAAGACAAGGGCCCCATACACAGTCCTTCGGACTCACACCCAGGGGTGGGGGACCCAAGACCTTCTGGGTGAGTTTTCCACCAAGTGAGAGAGGCGACAAGAACACGGGTGTGACTTGTGAGCTGCCCAGCTGCTAGTGGAGAAGGCAGGTCCCCTCACATTCGAAGGGCAGGGGTCCATCGGAAAGAGGACCCAGGGCTTTGACACAATAAATGAAAGTGCTCAAAGGCCAGGAGGGAAGGGCTCCTTCATCCCCCGTCTCAGGGGAGCTCGGGAGGGGCCTGCCACCAAGGCACTGGTCTCCATGGTGAAGTGGGGGTGGGGCCCTCAGACCACCAGGGAGCTCTGGAAAAGCACGGGCTCTTCTGACGGTGGGGGGCGCTGCCAAGGCTCGAATGGCAGCGAGGAGGCCTTGGGGGCCTCTGGATCCTTCCGAGGCGGTGGCCTGGGGCTGGCCGGGGGAAGGGGGGACCCCGGGCTTGAGGGGCAGTTACGGAAGATGAAGCCCATGCTGGGGAAGAGGGGCTTCATCAAGTTGACGGGGCAGAAAGCCGAGCCGGTTGGGTTGAAATGGACTTTGTTCTTGTCAGGACAGGAAGTCAGGAAGGCCAGGTCAGGACCTGGGGACCTGGAGGATGGAGAGAGAAACACAGACATACATGTGTGCATGTACACAAACAGCCAGTGAGAAGGGACGAGAGGTGTCACAGCATCAGGGGAGCAAGGGAGCTAGGTCTCTGTTCAAACATGTTGGTAACTTGACCAAAAAAAACGACAGGCTACTGACCAACAACCAGTGCTCAGTAGGCCCCTCAGCTCTCCATGTTTTAGAAATATGGCTAAACAACAGGAAATCTACTTTAGCTAAAAACAGGAGGGATTAAAGCTAGACGGAAAGGAGAACTTCCTGACAGTGTGATTCTAGAAGAGGAGACCGAGAGATCTTTTAATTTGAGAGATTTCATCACTGAACAGTGTTTTAGGGGCAGACCACTTGCCTGAAAGCAGAGATCCAAGCAGAGTGACTTAGACTTTTTATAGCCTAAAGCAGGGTTTCTCATCCTCAGCACTACTGGCATTTGGGGCTGGATAATGCTTGGTTGTGGGGACTATCGTGTGCATCATAGGATGTTTAACAGCATCCCTGGGCCACCATACGCCAGTAGCATCCCACCCCAAATTGTGACAACCATTGCCAGATGTCCCCTGGGGGGAAAAGTATCCCCCATTGACATCTACTGACCTCAAGAATCTAATTCTTGAGCAGATTTGAAAGGTGTGATTTTCAAAACCCTTGCTGGGAGGAAAGGACAGCAGCTAGACCTTATCAGGAGATCTAGGTTCTAATTCACCATGTGCTCCTGGCCTAACCTGCCTCACCTCTAACATGGAAAGAATCCCTACCCTTCTGATCATGTAGGGGAAGTGAAAGGATTACAAGAGGTCAGGTCAGAGAGCTCTAGAGTAAGGAATCCTTATGATAAAAAAGGAAGAAGAATGTCTGGCCATGCTTCAAGGGTGAAGAGCCCTGAGAAGCTGCTGGTTATGAGGATTCCGGGCAAGAAGACAAAAGTGTGGGAAGACAGTCAAGCTCTGCACCAATGCTTCCCATGGCCTAACTTTTTCTTGAAGTGTAATGTATACATACAGAAGAATGCACTTAGTGTACAGCTTGACGAATTGATTACTATTTTAATTGTACAATTCTAATCATTCCAAACCCAGGAAGAAGAGCGAGGCACGCAGAGGAGGGCGGATGTTGGCCCAGCGTGAGCGATGGGAGGAGAGGTAGAGGGAAGCGAAGGCCCGTGTGCAGGGTGTGTTTGGAAGCCTGGGGCCCCAGAGGGCTCCGCAGCAGCAAGGTGCCCCCTGACTGAGAAGGGCTTAAAAGAATCCCACTTTAGGAAGAGGTGGGGGATGGGCAGGAGAGGGAATGCTCTCAGTGTGTGCATGCATGCACGAGGAGGGTGACCCAGGGGAGACCAAGTAACACTTGAAGGACGTGAGGGCAACCAGCGTGACCCTGAATGGCTTGATTCCCTCCCTGGGAATCTTACACGATGGGCAGCCAGGAAGAGGAAAATGTGGCAGAGGAACCACTAAACATAAGAACTTCCCAGTAGGAAAGTTCATACAATGAAGAGACACCAATGAGCTGAGAATTTCTATCCCCGGATATCTAAGAAAGTAACTGATGGATCACAACCTCTCTCAAAGGGTTAACATAGGGGCAGGAAGCTGGATGAGATGACTTTAAACCTCTTCTGGCCTTATGAGCCTACAAAAGAATAAAGACAAGCAACAGCCTAATTGCCACAAGCAATTCCAGGTTGTAATTACTCAACTATACTGTGGACTGGGGGAGGATACAAGAGCCCAGAGTCTGCTTAAGCTACGAGATCTGGCCTCTTCCCCCCACACGACCCCAGAGGATCGAGGGCTCTTGGAGAGATGCCAGGCAACAGTGATGATGGGAGCAAACCCTCAGTGCCCCTGGTTTTCTCCATAATTCCCACTCTGGGTTATATATGTACCTCCTGCTACTACCATGGGTTGTCCTTTCCCTTATCTGAGATACAGATGGAGCCATCAAGGTCCCACACCTGTCCTAGCTAATCTCCACTCACACACCATAACTAAACTTCCTCACTGCCATCGAATCCACAGCTTCCAATGTGAGTCGGCCCCGATGAATATTACAGTGGCAGTGGGAATATGATGAACTCTCTTCTTAGCTCCTCCTAAGCGGGACCGTGGGACATTTGGAAAGTTTTGGCTCTTGATTCTCTCTGCTAACGGGAGGGAACTGTACTAAAGAAATCAACTTAAGAATGACTTCTGAATTGTCCAGTCTGGTTTGGGAATATTCCATAGTCCTTACTTGCAAGGACTGGAAATTTCTGTCTGAGAGTTCATGACACTTGAACCACTGCAACTGCAGGATGAAGATTTGACTCAGAAGCAATCAGAAAGCTTTTTAGGCTCCCCCTGCCACACCGGTGGGCATGAGGCGCTTCTAAGCTCTGCCTGAAGAGAATTACTAGTATGTTCTCTCTCTGATTATGGTCTAGCAAATTCTCACACCTTCCTCGGGGATGGAAAAAAATAGAAGAAACAAAGGATTTAGGTTTCAGATCTCTTTCCTTTCCAGCTCCTGCTGCGCTTGTGGCTGGCATGTGGGCAGACAGCAGGTTTCTATGGAGATCATGATAAGCAAAGACTTAGGTGCTCAGAGGAGGTAATGTCAACAAGTTTGGTCATGGAAAGACTGCAATACTGATCATCTACAGCTGACAATGTCTCCAGGACAAGAGGGAGTCAGACTAAAGAGAGGAGGCCTATCAGGTGGGATGCCACAGGGCTCAGCCCACATCCCTGTCCCTCCCTCGCACATCCTGACCCCCACCGACAGGCTGAGGTACTCACGTGGCCTCTTCAAACACCCGTACTCTCTCACAGCCTTCCGGGGGTTCCCGTTTGAAGACGTAGCTGTGATTGGGCCGAGGGGAGGCGGCAAAGGCAAGGACTGGAGATGGGCTGCCCTCTTCAAGGAAGGCTGGGTGGCCTGGAGGGGAAGCTGCAAACAGAGTAAGGCTGAGTCCCATGGTGCTAAAGGAAGGTCTCCGCTTTCCCGGACTCAGACCTTGGTGTAAATGGGCAGGACTGGGAGATATGGTACGGTGGGTGGCAGTGGTTATGTTAATCCAGGTTGTTTGTCTACACTCTACCTTAAAACATCTTTGAGGAAGCCTTACAAGAATACAAACCTTGTATATGTGTAGCTGATTCACTTTGCTGTACAGCAGAAACTAACACATTGTAAAGCAATTATACTCCAATAAAAAAAATTACCATAAAAAGAGGCCCAATAAAATAATGATGATAAATAAAATAAATTTTAAAAAAAAGAGAAAATAAAACTAGAATTGTAAGGGGAAAAAAAAATACAGACCTTGTTATACAGGATAAAAAATTACAGTTGAACTGAGGGAAAAGTTGGGTCTGATACCAATTCCATATTCCCCGGAGGTAGACTGTGACTGGAACTCCAAGTCTCAGACTTGAAAGAATCCTAACATCTCTATCTCTGCCTTCTTCCAAGACTGCACCGCCCTGCCTGCCAACATACCACAGCTTCTTCCTTTCCATGATCGTGAATATCTATCCCTTCTTCCAGGAAGAGCTCTTGTACTGACTCAGACAAGCAATCTTTACTCAACCCGACTCGTGGGATAAGATTCCTCTCACTTTCCGCACAGCAAATGTACTTTGCCGAGGTTGCAAATATTGACTTTATCTGTATTTATCTCACATTTATTCTTTATTTTCTATGCTCTGTTTACCTCGGTATTGTTATATCATGCCTTTGACCAGCCTACCTCATGGGGTTGCTGTGAGGATCAAGTTAGGTGGTGCAGGCAACAGTGCTTTAGAATGTCAGGATCATTATGACGGGGAGGAGGGACTCTTATCTTGTCCTCTCAGTGACGCAGCCACGGCAGAATAGAAAGTAGAGATTTGGAGTCAGAAAGCTTGGGTTTCTATTTGGGTCAAACTGTGTGCCTCTGGGCAAAAGACCACATTCTTTTATTTACAGCGTTCACACCCACCTTGAGATGTATTGCTGGTAATGGGTCCAGTGGACACCTGAACGGGCTCATGGGCTCTCCACAACGGCATGCTGAACCTCAGCCAAAAAATGGGGATGGGAGGGATTGCTTCTTTGGATTACAGTGAGGATTAAATAAAATTGTAAGTGCAGAAACTTCATATAAATTATAAATTAGAATCTATATCAAGGACCACTATAACGTATGGAATATAGATGACTCCCAAAGATATTCTAGTTGGTTAGTAAGTAAAAAATGCGTGGCCAGAAATTGATGAGAGTTGGAAAAGGGCATGGAGATGACCCCATACCCCACGTGGGCCCCGCAGCCTGGGCCTCCCCAGCTCACCTTTGTCACTGGGGATGGACGTCAGCTCCTCGGCTGCACCCTGGTGTTCCTCACGGCTAGTCTGGCCAGAAGGCTGGGGGGATGCCAGGGGCATGGAGGGAGAGCTGGCAAGGTTTCCAGGCTCCAGGAGGAGGAGGGGATGATCACAGCTGCCGCTCTGGGGGGGAGCTGGGGCACGGTGCCCGTCAGGGATTTCAAGGATCTGCCGAGGAAGAGTGGGGGTCAGGCCTGTCTCTGCAGGCTGGCAGGGCTGCGATAACCCTTAGGGTCATCCCCTTGCCATTGTCCTTGTCCTTGACTCACAACACACAGTGACAGGACACCATTTCCTCATGTCACTGACTTTCCCAACAGCCCCCAATCTAAGAGACACCTCCTCCTGCTTCTCCTAGAGTGCTTCATTCTTTCCCCTCATAGATAGAACTTTATGACTACATATTTATTTTATGGTTTCATCAAGGTATTGCCCCCACAAGGCTGTAAGCCTCACGAGGGCAGGGGCCTCCTGTGTGTCAGGCTCAGGGAACACAAAGGTGAATAACACATGGGGGCACAAGAGGGGGCAAACCACCAGGACACTGTAACAGCTATAGGCCGCTGCAGGACAAATGTGCAGATTACTTCCATGTATTAAATACACCCCCCTCATTTTTTTTAACATTCAATGGTACTTGTGTCCACAGATCACCAGTCTGTGTGCACATGTAAAATCCTACATATATGCACATTAAAAATCAACCAGCAAGTAAATCATAAACTGAAGAGTGTGCCCATTAGAATTATATTAATATTGCCCAACTGGCATTCCCCAATTGTCCTGTGTCAGTATAAAAATGTGCCTGAGACTGCAGAAAAGGGAGCAAATAATTCTGCCTGGGAGTGGAGCGGGGGAGAAGGCTGCACAAAGGCAACTGGGCATGAAGGATGAACGCATGTCACCAGGTAGAGATGGAGGGAAGGGAAGCATAACTCTAGCACTGGGGCCACTTGAACTGAGGCACAGCTAGGGTGACGCTGACAGTGACAGTGATGAGTATGCCAGGAACACTGAGCTGGCGCTTTGGCTGAAGAGTGATACCTAGTGCCTTCCTCCCAGCCAGGTGCCTTCCTCCCTGCTGACCCCTGGCTCCTTCTCTTTCCATTCAATGCCCCAACGTCTTCCCCAACTTCACCCACCCGGCTCTGCTGTTCTTGTGGTCAAGTCCATCTGAGTCTAATAAACTCAAGTTGTGTTCCTCCCATGGGGTGGTTTGGGCATGTTTCTCTGTTGACATGTGCACAGCCTGTGAGCCCCCAGACAGCACGAGTCCCAACTCCCTGTGTCCAGACTCAGCAAGACGCTGCCTATCTGTGCATCCGGGTGCGGCCCCCACTCACCCGCAGCAGCTCCTCCTCACCCTGCTCTTTCACAAACACCTCCTCCAGCTCTTGGTTGAGCCCTTCCAGGCTCCGGTGCAGGCAGGGGCTCAGTCGCAGGACAGCAGACCCTGAGGGGAAGCTGGGAGGGGATGCCTGAGGAGGAGTTAAATGAAGCCATCACTGAACCCCACCAAGCCCCGTGCAGTTATCAGTTCTGACCAGGGGGTAACAGTCATGCCTACACAGCAGAACCAAGTGAGTAAAGGAGAATTCAGGGACAGTTACCAATTGCAATAGGTCCATTCAGTGGGGTTTTCTCCAGAAGGCAGACCTTTGAGGGGTCCAGAGTGTACTTTTAGAGTCTGCATCATGGCCTCAATTGTGCGGGGGGTGGGGATGGAGGACAGAGACATGCAGCACAGCGAGAAACCCTTTCCAAAGTTGCACCAAAACTTCACCTGGCACCCACGTGGCCACAGGCCCTGCAGTGCAGGACGGCTCACAGGACCCGCCCACCCCACGGGGCCCGCCACAGAGGATGACAGAGGGGTGAAGGCTGGGGAAGAGACGTACCCTCAGTGCTCCCCGCACAGCATGGTCCCCTTGGAGGGGGGAGCCCCGCTCCTTCTCTTTCCCACTGCGGCTAAGCTTTGTCCTCTGCAGCTGTTGCTTCAACTTGGTAATCTGGAGGCAGGGAGAGGGGGAGAGGACAGGCAGGTGAAGCAAAGCAAAAGTGCACTGGGTCCTCCCTCCCAGGCGTGGCTCTTGCCAGAAGCCCATGAAAATATGTAAAAGGAAGATGGAAGTTAATCTTCCATCTCAAAATACCTCAGTGCTGTTCAAAACTGTGATGATAGGCTCATCAGGCAAGCTGGACACCACAGTAACCAGATTATTGGATTTTTTGAATTACCATGTATTCCACAGATGGCTCACGTTCCGAAAAATTAAAAATATACAACACTGAAACCATTTTTGTCTTTCACAGATTCCAAAGGCATGGAATATTACTCTATTAATAGAAATGGAAAATGATGTTTTTGAATTCACTCCTCAAAATACATTCACAGCTATCTCAAAGGCCCTGGGACCAAGAAGGATGGAAGGATTTCCCCTCATTTTAAAGTAGACTGCACTGAGCAAGGAACAGCCTCTCCAGAAGGAATATCAGCTTCTGTCCCAACTTCACATCCTGTAACAATTATGGAGTATCATCAACAATTTTAAATATTGTCCCAGTCACATTTGTAATTCTGGACCTACTGGTCCTTAGTGTAAATACTCTGATAATTACAAATTGTAAATACTTTGTATTTCCCACTAGCCTTAAATACTTCATATTCTCTCTCTGTTCTTACAACCAAGAGGGCAGAAGCTACTGCCCTGTAAAGGGTGACCCCTGGTGAGTTGGCCCTCCTGGGGGCTCCCCACAGCATGCCAGGCGGAGCTGGGTTGGGAGCCCTGGAATCCAGTCTATGGCTTTCTCTTCTCACCCTCAACCCCTGTGGCCCTCATGAGAGGGAGGGAGGGCCAGGAAGAAGTGTTTGAGGACACATCATTATTTATCTCTTCTTTTAAAAATAAGGCTGGATGAGTAGCTAAGTAGTAAATGAGGTTGGGGGCTTCCAACTCCCAGAAACTCACTCTCTTTCTCCAGTCTCTGGACCCAACCTCAAAGTGAAGTGAGAACAATGGCCACCCCCACCCTGAGCTAGGTTGCTGGAGCGCCAAGCCCCTGCCTGCAGGAGGGTCTGGGCTCATGAAGCCAGGCAACCAGGAGGCTGGGAGGCAGCTACGAAGGCGCCATCTCATTAGGAAAAGGCTACATTGAGGCAGGTGAGACTGGAAATGTGGGTCCACTTTGGAGCGGATGTGTCCATGGTGCTGGGGGTAGACGAGAGGCAGCTTCCCGGGCCAGGGAGTCAAAGGGGGCAGTTACCTCTTTTCGGTGATCTGTGCTGCCCCAGGACGCTGAGCGCTTGTGTGTACACGAGCTGGCCCGCTCACCTTCAAGCTCTTGCCAGGACAGGGGGGTCTGCAGGGAAAGAAACCCAGTGACACAGAGCAGCTTCTCAGGCTGGCTCTGGGGAGACAGACACACCATTTCCCAGACAGAGGTGCTGGCTCTTTGAAGTCTTCTCTCATCTGCTCATCAACCTCCTGGACACTGCCAGCCCCTTTTATTCTTTCAGGCTTCTCCACCTGCACTGCCTCTTTCCCAGTCCACATCCTCCAGGAAACCTTCCCTGATGAGCCAATAAGGCCAACCTGCTCTTTACTCTCTTATGACTTTTACACATGGATTATAGCCCCAACTACTCCAAGTGCTTCTCCCCAGCGGTGAGGACCAGAATTGTCCCTCCCTATCCCAACCAGCTGCAAAAGAGCACATTTGAGAGGCTCAGGGCAACACTGGCATCCTCGATTCCCTCCCCATCTGTGTGCCCAGCACGGGCCCAGGTTCCTGGGAGCCTAATGAAAACAAGTTACCAGACGGGACTCCAGTAAGGAATCATTAATTGGTAAGACAGGAAAACGCTCAACAGAGATGCCCCATGCTCTATCCTGAACCGAAGCAGAAGACTTCTGTGCAGTGCAGTACCTCAAGCTTGTTCCGTGATTCTTCCCGGTCCACAGAGGGTTAGGGTCCCCAAAGTCCTCCTGAATACATAGGGAGGGGAGATTTTTGCAAAGGAGGGAGCCAGAATTCTGAACTCAGCCCTGACTCCTGACCCCTCCTGGCTTTATCACAGCTCCTTCTCCTGGGCCCTGCTCTGCCCCTGTGAGAACTTGACTCTCAGTCCGCCATCCTCCCTCCCCCACTGCACAGAAGACAGAGGACCCATGACGGAGGCAGAGGGAGTTGTAGACCCACTTCCTGAGCCCCCTAACAGAGGGAGGAAGCGGTTGGCTCTAAGCGCGAGGCAGAAGGGGACACAGTCCCTCCGCCCCCACCAGCATCCCTACTTCCATTCCAAGGCAGGGGCCCAAGGGGGAAGGCTCTGGTGGAACCAGTTCCTCTCTAGCTTCTTTGCACAAAAGCTGCCAAAGCCACGAGGGCCTGGGAACTGTCTCCTCCAACAGATCCGCTGACCTCCCCCGAGAGGTTGTTACAAACAGAAAAGGGGGAGGATAAGAGGGAAAAAGCCCAACAACTCACCCCCCAACAGCTGTTAAGAAGAGCTCGGTGATGGCAGTCTGAGCGGTGCTGTGGGAGTAGGCTGCCCTGCACAACAGCTGCAGAGGAAGAGGGTCCACGGGGCTGCCGAGCCTTCCTGCCTCTTCCTTCTCCCAGCTGCCCACCAATCAGGGCCTTTACCCCGCCGTGCGACACAGCCAGGGTGAGACAACTGCTGGACTCCCTTCCCTGAGGCCAGCACCACAAGGGAGACCCTCCAGAGATGCGGCCCCACTATTCCTTCTTTAGAACAAGGGCGGAGAGCATATCCTCAGGCCGATACCCCAAAGCCTCAAGGTGGAGCTGGCTCTGACAGTAGAAACCAAGCAGCGGGCCTACTTCCACACGCCTATCAGGGTGTTGGCAGACAGAGCCTCAGAAAAGGCTGCTGCACATACTGAAAAGACAGGAGAAGCCCACAGCCCCCTGAGCAGAGCAGATGCATGAACACTCCTCCCCTCCCAAGGCTCCAAGCCAAACCTATAGATAACTAGGTCTGCTCATCAAAGCTGAGTTCCACACAAGCGTGTTGTCCCTGGAAAGGTGGCAGAGACTACAGAGGAAGGGTGACAAAGGCTAAGGTGTTGATGCCTGTTTCTCTTCCTCCGGGAAGATACTGCACTCACAGGTGGGTGGTGAGAAGGAGGTAAAAGCAGCCACATTCAGGTTGCCACCGGTTCTGCTAATATCTCTCGCAAACTCTTCAACTGCCTCTTTCTTCTGAGATACGTGAGGGGGTGGAAGGAGAAGTGCAGGCTAGCGCTGGAGGCTGGAATGCATGTGAAAACTCATGGCAGCTGGGATCATCTCCTCTCTCAGTCCATCTCACCTCAATCTGCTCGGCAGCATCTCCCAGCAACTATTGCCTACTCTGTAAACTGTGCTACTAAGGCCATCGCTTTGCCTCAACACCCACCCCTGGCCATAGACATCACCATCTTACCCTCCATCCGTGGGCTCTCTGTCCCACAGGCAAATGTAGCTCCATCTCCTTTTTCTTTCCTTATCCCTTGACCTCTAAGCCTGGTCTCCCCACCTAAGGCGGCCCTCCGTACCAGCTCTTCCCAGCGTTCCCATCAGGGAGCCATTCCTAGCTGTCCACCTCATGCGGCCTGCTGCCTCACTCTGCATCTTCTCTTATCAGATGGGTTCAGGGTACACATCACTCATGTACTCAACAAAGAGTTACTGAATGCAAACTGTGTGTCAGGCGCTGTTTCAGCTGCCGGGGACATAACAAGGCACAAAATGACAAAAATCCTCATCCCCTTTGAGTTTACGTTCTAGCTGGAGGCACAGTTTAAACAGTGATAAGTACTAGGAGAGAAATACAGCAAAGAAAGGGAATAGGAATGCTGGGCTGGGGAACATGATTTTAAATGTCAGGGAAGTCCTCAGTGAAAAGGGAACATCTGCTGAAAACATAAAGGAGATGAGGAGTGAGACATGCAGGTATCAGAGGTGAGAGTGACCCAGATGGAGGAAATAGCAAGTGCCAAGGCCCCCAAGCAGGAGCCAGTCTGGTGGGTTTGAGAATGATAAGGAGGCCAGTGTGGCTGGGGCAGAGTGGGTGAGGGGCAGAGTAGTAGGAGACGAGGTCTGTAGGTGTGACAGGTTGAAAATGGCCCCCCAAAGAAATCAGGTCCTAGTCCCTGGAACCTGTAAATGTTACCTTACATGGTAAAGTTTTTGCAGATGTGATTAAGTGAAGGATCTTGAGATGCAAAGATTATCCTGGTGGGCCCTAATGCCATTAAAAGTGTCCTTATGAGAGAGAGAGACAGAGGGAGATTAGACACTCACAGAAGAAGGTAAGGCAATGTGACCATGGAGGCAGAGACTGGAGTGACGTGGCCACAAGCCAAGGAATGCTGGCAACCACCAGAAGCTGGAAGATGCAAGGAATGGGTCTCTCAGAGAGCCTCCAGAGAGAGTATAGCCCTGCCAACACCTTGATCTTGGCCTAGCGGAATGAATTCAGACTTCTGGCCTCCAGAATTATGAGAGAATAACTTTCCATTGTTTTAAGCCACTAAGTTTGAGGTAATTTGTTACATCAGCCTCAGGAACCTAATACAGTAGGTTATCCTGTGTTTGAAGCTGTTTACATGCTGGCCTTGAGTATTCTTCAGGCAGGCACATGCACAGGTATGGGCTTTGGCCCCTCCAAGGTGACCTAGGAGCATCAAGAAAGGGACCATGCCCACCCCTTATTTCCAGTGCCCCTAGGTGGACAGGCCCTTCCCTCCTGGGTCTCACCACAGACATCTGGGCCAAGGTCTCCTTGGAGCACAGAAGAGTCACAGCTAAGGAAGGTTACCCTTCAAAGAGTGACCCTTCGTGGCACAATGGGGGTCAAGTTGGGCTGTGTGACAGCACCGTAAGTAGTTGTTCCAGACAGTCCTCTGGAAGCAGGATAAAGCTTGACCTCAGCAGGCCAGTCATGTTTGTCAAAGGGACTCACACACTGGAACAGATTTATTTTAACACCCTGGCCCAGGGGGAGCAGCTAAGGGAGAAGCAGGGCTGCTTACTGGCCATGAGTGGCGTCAGGCAACTATGCAGACAATGCTCAGATTATGCAAAACTGGATGTGGGTTAGACCATGGAAGCTTTGCCTGGGATTCTGAAGTCCCAGAGCAACATGTGGGATAACTGGGTGAGGGCGAGGACAGCTTTATAACAAGAAGGCAGGGGTGAGATGGAGCCCAAACTCTCCAAAGTGGAACCTCTTTCTCCGCCCCCCACTCAACTAAGCCTCTACCCAGATTCTGAGACAGGAAGAGTCCTGGTCCTTGCTGTTTCCAGTGACCTTGGCTGGGCCCTGGGAACATAACCCAGTGTACCTATTCGGATGTGTAGAGCAGCGTGGTGCCTGGCCTAGCATATATGCTCAGTAACTACTTGCTGAACTGAAATTCAGCAGGGAATCAGCCTCTTGGGACTCTGGCCAGAAAAAGAGGCAGGAAAGGCTCTGAGGGTGGTCTGCTGGCCAGCGCCGAGAACTCTAGCAGCAGGTGGCCAAGGCCACCATCTGTGGCCCTACGGTGACTGTGCAACCCTCAGATTTTCCATCATGGACCCATTTTCAAATATTCTATGCTGATGTCAAACCATATACTGAACTGGTCCTGCTCACCAGTTTGGGAAATAGGCACTGTGCCCAGGCCCTCACACCCGCAAAGAAAGGCCCATCATAAGCAGACTGAATCGTGTGTCATCACCAAATGCTGAGGCACTGGATTGGGAAAAAGAGGAGGACAGCACACAGGTAGGGAAAGTCACAGAAAGGGAAGTCTTCCCAAACAAAGCATGCCACCTCTGCCTCTGCCCTTCAGGACACTCCATGAAGTTTGTCAAGGACTTAAGCTAATTTTTTTTCCCAAAGGGTAACTCAGGCCTAAAGAAAAAAAGTCTCTCATAAGGGCATCCCTACCTCACCTGGAGCCTGCAGAGGAAATGGGGCTGGGGATGAGCAGAACGGGGGGCCAGGCAGAGCAGGCACCCAGGGTCCCATCAGTCTCCAGGATGAGAACACCAGTGGGGGAACTTGGCTCCAACAGTCATTCCAGCTGTGGTGAGACCACTTCCTCCCTCCAGAAGAGTGCGAGAAGACTCCCAGCAAGAAGGGAGGGGGTAAATGCAACCACCAGCATGTGCTGCCATCTCCCGTCCCGGCCCCGGGCCCAGTGCCAAGAGCAGCCGGCCCACAGCACTTGATAGCCAGATCTGAGTGACCAGCTGACCTGGGGGAGGGCAGTCAGGAGAGGAGAAAACAGATTCAAATTTACCTGGACAATCCTGACAAAGTCCTCCGAAATACAAAGAAACCTCCAGATGATGGTGACGCCACA